TGATTCATGTTATTTTCTTTGTTCTAATGAATTGGAATGGTAAACAGTGAATTGAAATGAATGTTATTTTCTGTGTTATACTGAATTGAAGTTGATGAAAAAAGTGAATTGGAATGGATTCAAGTTATACAATGATGAACAAATTTTGTTCGGACATACAGTCCTAACATGAGCACTATTGTTCGACAAAATAGCTCTGAACAAAATACATTTGTTCGGCTATACAATGGTGAAAGAATTGTTTTTATTCGGTTCTACAGTGCTGAAATGAGTAGGCCAGCAACTGTGAAAGGGCCAGCAAGCATTTATGTTCGGCACTACAGTACTAAAAAACCCATATATGTTCGGCATTACAGTGTTAAACAAAGACTACCTGTTTGGCATTACAGTGCTGAATGAGTCATTTTGATTCGGTTTTACAGTGCTGAAGGAAGAGGATTTGTTCGGTTAGTCAGTGATGAACATAAAATTCATGTTTATTCATTAGTCTAGATTTGTTTATTCAATGATGACCATAAAGCAATAAACAAACCAATATTTCAAACAAACAAACTATCAAACCAATTCCAAACCATCAAACCAATTCTAAACCATCAAACTAATTCATTGAGTGCCCAAAAAGGTATGGTAAAGTCATATACAAGCCTAGCTCATACTTGTGTCATATACAAACCACCATCAAAATGTATGCCAAAAATTTTTCTCAGACAAACTAACATATACTAAAGTGTTATCTGACCTTTATTATACTGCGCTAACACCATCAAAAAGTCTAACATATGTTTGAGACTAAGATTTCAAAATATACATTTAAAACATTTGAACCCAACAAATACTAAAGTCTAAGACGTTGCTCCACAATTCCTGCGACGAGTGTACACCAAGTTCTCTGATGGTGTATGTTCTTCAGTGGATTGTTGGCCCTCCAAGACTTGTGTTATCTCCTTCATAGCATTGCGTAACATATCTCGGGTGGGAGTTGCTTCATTGTATCCGATTTCGAGCATTGAACGTAAATGCTTAAGGCACTGTCAATGCGCAGCAAATAATAAAATAAAACTTAACAATTGCCTTAAACAAAATATATATGAAAATGAAAATGGTAAAAATTGACATACGAATTGAAGCTGACGATAATCAGCTGATGTCTCAGTGCGTGGGTTATACTTAGAACGATGTGTCGGGGTTTTGAACTTGCACGTGTGAAATGGAAGTAAACAGTCCAAGTAACCTGGCACACAATCCCATGGATGCAAGATTAGAACACTACGCGTTGTCTCAGGCAACAAGTGATTTTCCCAACTCTCCCAAATCGTATCCAAATATTTATAGGCAATGCTGTACTGTTTTGCAGTGGATCCTCTAGAGGCTCGAACTGGAGCAAACAGAGGTGAGGGAATAATTTTCACCCTACCAAATTGTCTCAGCACCCTATCTGGATTGCATGGTTCAACAATGTGCATACATTTTAAGCATCCACTATAGTAAGCAACATCAAAAAAAGAATGCTCAATACGCTTATCATGGTATAGATCCCAAATAACCTACAATAGTAAAAATTTTATATATAAGTTATGAATTAGGTTGAATAATAACAAGTAATATGTACATACATTGACATAAGATTGACACTTACGCCATGGGCCTCTAATCTGTCGAGGTCCTCTCGCAACCTTTGTAAAATAGACGTTGACGAACCAGATTAGGTACGAGAAATCCAACGAAAGACACGAGGCTGATCTTCTTTATAGTCCAAATTGGGACGGGGTCTAGCACCAACAAAATGCTCATAAATCCAAGCTTCCAGCAATGTCATGTATCCCGCCATTTGTTTTACGGCATACCATGTGGCAGTACCCAATTGCCGGTATAAAAAAGCCAATGCGGTTGCACCCCAAGCATAAGAAGCAACCGATCGCAAATCCATAAGAAAAGACAAATACACTACCGGAACACGTGTGCCTGTCTTGTCTGCAAATAAGGTACAACCTAACAAATATAACAAACATGCCCTAGCTGTACACTCAATGATATTATCATTGTCCGCATCAGACACTGACCCAAACCGTTGTCTCAACCATTCTACCTTGATAGACTGGCCCCGTGCT